CTTTTACATATTAAATTATCGACAACAGGTTAGATATGTCGTTTAAGCATCTGCAGATGAATGTTCGTGAGTTCTTTCTCTATGATACACACAAGTAAAAGAGAGTACTTAGCGCGCAAATCCAATTTAAGGGAAAACTGCTTGCCAAGTATTTGATATTGCTCTGATTCTCGTCAGAAATACTTGTCCTCTTTGAACTGCCTGTTTCTGGTTAAGACACATTCTTCTTCTCACCGTCAATTGTAACTTATGTTTTTCTTCACTCTCTGCAAAAGGCTAACTTTTTATTAATGCCGCTCCAACCATCTATTTACCTTATTGCTGTCTAGACCAATCAGTGTTCTATTTATCTACAGTATGAGCACAGAGGAAGAACTCGAAGTGCCTTAAATACTTAACCTGGATTGAAAGCCTGCTGCCTTTTTTCGTTATGTCAAATAACTTCAAGTGATGGTTCCACTACGTGAGCCCGAAAACTTGTAGTGCATAAACCGAAAATGAATTTAAATTTGGGAGATATTTTGACTTACATATCCATATTTTTAAGTCCTCGCTGACATGCGGCAGTTCTCTTAGACCAAAACCGATGGCGAAGCCAATAAGCACGCCCGCGATAATGGTCAGCATGAACATATTGTTCTTAAGACATCTCACGAAACCATTATGTTTTGGCTTTTGCTCCGGAACATACGTGTCTGATGCTGATGATGACGTCTGTGATTTGGGCATGACGACCGTTTATACTGGAAAGAATACGCAGAGGACCAAAACGTTCAGACTGCAGACATTGCGCCCCGGTCTGGACCCCTTTTTATTTGATGGGGACCCAACCATACGCTCCTTTACTGGCACTGGCGCCAGGGTCTGTCGTATGAGCGTTTGCCACACCATTGGTCCATGAATGTACTGCATACGACACACCCCAAAATACGTCATCAATTGCTTCATCAGCGGTGAAACTCGTAGTGGTAACAGTTGCATAACTGATTATCGGAAAATAAATGAAGGCCTTTACGTTTTTTGCCCCTTTTCCGTGAGTCTACAGGTTTAGTGGCAACAGTGGTGTCTTAAATGCCATTAAGGCTAGCTCAGGCGGCGTCAGATCGGTGAACAAATAGAAGGGTTTCTCAGTAGTGAAAACTTAGCTTTGAGTCACTGTTCTCACAAAAATATTTTCGTAAAGATTTAATTTTTGCACAAGATACGATTGCTGGAACATGGCGTTCATTGGCATGGCGTTTCGGATCCTTGTTCGAACTCATCATCAAAAACAGTCGTAGACAAGGAGTTTCTCATAAGTATTATACATAGACACGAAAACTATAGAACTATGAACACTTATTGTGATGTCCATGTTCATTGAAACAATTGCTTGGGATAAAAGAGGATTACTAGGAACCATCACTGGCACAAAACGCAGAAACGACCCCGCATTTAGATTAAATACTTTAAGTGACCATCTGACAAATATTTTTTATACATAAATTTTGGAGGGACTCTTTTGAGTCTTGGTAAGCAGATCAATAAAGGAAGATAAAATGCACACCTTTAAACTTTAAGCAGTTCATGAGAAAAAACAAATACAGTACGTTTGAATTTGCATTTCCTGATTTGCTCCTATAGTACACACTTTAGGCATTGCGTAAAATACGAAATAAATCGTCTTGGAAGGTGAATGAAGTTGTCAAAATTTACCAGTTAACTACAAATTAAACGGATATTTACCCATCCTTTCGCTGGGCACCAAAAGGGCACCCATTTCCATTCAGTTTGTCTACAATTAAACTGACACATCGAGTGCTTGAAAAATAAAATTGGCTACCAAAAAGACAGAAGGAGGCTTGCGTAACAATTCCTAACGTCAGTTTCTCATTAGTTAGCCATACTTGTGCGCTGGACATTAACAGTTTAGGTCCCCCTGACATCAGGTCGATGTTTGGCCCACTGATGGTAAACAACAGATGGATTACTCATTCTGGGTTCCCTCTGGTGTTTTTTCATTATTCCGGAAAGAAATGAGACTAAGAAGGCCCCTATGCTGTGGGCCCTGTGCTTTCTTTGGAGGCAATTTAAATTTTAAGGTCAGAATTAAGCTTAGTGTTAGATTTAGCGTTCGGATTATATTTAGACCGCAGGAATACTTATCTTTCTTGGATTTTGGAGAAGGTTGCTTGTATTTGTGAGGAAGTTCCTATTCACAGATCTTATAAATATTCTTCCTACAATTAATACCTTTTACTGTTCGACTGTCTGTAGGAGCGGAATACTTGCGCTTGGCTTAAATCGGACTATCAACTTGCCTTCCGGCATATAGGCCCTATCAGCGGACGCTACTCTCACGCATCAAAATCTAAGCATTTCACGGCTTCATGCAAAAGTCAAATAAAGATGGTCTTTATAGTTTTCCATCTCCTTCATGCGTGAGCCCACATGTGCTATGATCGGCTTAAAATAAGGAAATTTACAAATCTGAATAGCTACCAAAAACCACACGGGGACACTATGTACTCACTGATAAGCTAAAACCCTTGTTACTGTGTCAGACAGCGGTGAATTATCAGCGAAAAAGTTGTGGTTGAGTTTGTAGTTGGTAGCTTTACTTTTGTGGTAAATCATATAAAAGATGCGCTCCTTTAGTGTTTTCGACTAGTTTTTGCAATACCGTAGCAAACTAAATTTCTAGAATAATAAAGTAACGCATATTTAACTAGCAGGTCTCTTCCGCTTATTGGATGCGTAAGTATTACCTAAAAATTTATTTGCAATGCGCACTGATGACAGATTTCCTTTCAGCCATTAACCAATAGAAATAAAAATTACTGTTTTGGCGCTCAAGTTACGATTCAGATTTACGACGTTAAAATTTTCAGTCTGATCAGAAAATGTTTTTCGAATGGTCGCCTAAGTTTCTGACAAGGTTTGTGACATAATTACAAAAGTGATTTGCAAAACTTCTGTTGGTACTTAATATACGTGCTTTCGTATTCTATTGCTTTTAAGATAATACTACTTATCTGAACCAAAAATATTAACTTTGGACGCAAACCGGTAAGGAAAAGGAAAAGTGTGTCAGGGTTTATTCAAATGCTATAGGCTTTCCTGGACTCCGTGTAAGAATGAACTACTGTTTTGCTAAATAGAACTTCGTGAAACTCCTATGTAACTGCCACTAGTAGCTCGTCGAACATCGAGGTTACGGACACTGTCTCTGTTGCCAATACGCACAAACTAGGGAATGAAGGCCACATGCTCCTCTAAAAAGATTAGTGCTTAACTCTTACTAAATAGTGTATGTGCATAATTTTGGTTAGGATAGCGAAACATTTTTGGTAAAAGAAGTAATTGAGGGAGGTAAATGGGAAGTAAGACGTGATTTGGCATGAAAGCAGACGCATTAGCTTTGAACACAAAACCCATTCTTCGGTTTTACATCAGAGCAGAGAAGATTATCAGATTTGCAGTCAATTTGATGGATTTTTCATCATGCTCATTAGTTTTTTATTGTTTTGGTTTATGGTAGCTACGCGCAGCTTTACAGTTATGCGAGCGCTGCAAACAAATTTCCTAAATTTATAAATGTTTGACTATTTTTCCCATACCAGTGGGAACGAATTTACGAAAACTTATAAATAATAATGAGCAACATTAGGCATATTAAGTACT